GGGCATCGTGCGTGTGACTACTGGTAAGACAGCAGTCAATCTTGATGCCAAGAGGCCTAGGCAGGAGAGCCATCTATATTCTATCCATCCAAAGGGTATAGTTCTGTGGACCCAGACGGTAACGAAGGGTGCTAATCCATTATGGAGTTCTTCTGAATTCTCACCAAGTTCACCGTAGTGTTATACTACTTATTATCCCTGACGTCGATGGAGTCTTACGGAGACGCTGACCAAAGAAGATGTTTACCTTAGTCAACTAGTCTCACATAACTAATCGAGAAGTAGTTATTGATTGGCACTCACCGAGCAGAACTACAAGCGTAGGCGTAAAAAGCCTTGGTTTAGAGTCTTTAGTTAATGTACCCGCAGGTACCGTTTATGAGCTAACAGCGACTTTGCATGTTAGCCTCATAAAGTAATAGGATGCGTGTTGCTATTACAGAGCCAAACTAATACTTGAACCGGGATTCGCTGTTGACCCCAGTTGATACGAAGCTACATATTCGACCGATTGATTAACGGCTTGCGCAAGATATGCGAATGCAGCTAGATGGGTCTTCGCATACTCATAGACTCATACATAGAAGGAGAATATATGGATAGATCCACAGCAAACAATTCTTGGGCATCTCAACCATGTTATGATACACTAGACCCCTATCCTCGAATCATCGCTATCCCACGCTTCGGTTTATTGTTAGTCCTAATTTGGTATATAGACCTGACCAGCTTAATAAGTAGGGGCGCTGATCTGCGCTTCTTAGACAATTTAAGTAGCCGATGTTACTTTCGTACCGGCTCCCCCCTGCTAGTCGAAGATGCCGCAACCGTACCTAGAACATGGTTAGGGAATACCTCATCTCGAAGCGTATGAATAGAGTGGACCGTATGTTTGCCATGAAATACTCTTACATCTGTTTGTCTAGGTAGGTAACTATACTATTTAATGTCCTTGTTCGGTTTTCGGTGAGTTTCATCTATGCCCAACTCCTGACATGGGCTCGGCTATCATATGTCCTGATCGCCAAGAAACCGTCGAATTATGATAGATCCAAACCCCGGAATCGAGAAACATCCTCTTCGGGGTAAGCCGGAGACACGCTTTCTGGCAGCTGCATGCGACGCCCGTCTATGTAACGCTTGCATGGCAACGATCTAGCCCGAAATACTCCTACTCTCCGCGTTCCTTCACCCTGACCCCCCTCTTTTCAGATTCTATTTAGTGCGTAGACTCGCACCTAACTATCGTATTGGCTAAAATCGTCGCCGTAGCTCGTGAGGATGATGACACGATGCAGCGGAGAAGATTAGCGACAATGTAATATGACAATGTAGGATAACCTCGCTATGACTTATATGTGTTACGCGACGACGAGCCATCTGTTTCCCACTTTGTATTGTCCTATCTAACCTTGCGCCCTAATATGAAATGCCACACTGTCCTATTCGCGTTTAAAACACTACCTAGGTAAGTATAGCAGTTGAACTATCGAGAGGCTAAAAGTTAAAATATTGAAGTAGCCATAATGTAACTTGATGGCTCAAACCTAGGGGGTTGTTAGATAGGTCTTAAGAAGAAGTCTGTGCGGTAAAGAGAAGGCCTATAGACCCGGCAAGGTTTCCGACGCCCGAATAGGATCGTTACTCCAAGTTATGGTTTCTGGGGAACCACCAACGCCCCCAAACCAAGTACCCAACATATGGGAAACAGATAATAACACCGTGGGGGTCATATCTACCATGTACTTGCCATAGTGCGAGTACCCCTGTTTACACATTTTTCCTTGATGGTGGTGTACCAACCACATACCATGTAAGATGTAGTTCTTTGCCGTGTGGAGTAATTTAAGAGCTGATGTCCTTAGAGACAACGGTATATCAATCCGCGTCTAAACCTAGGTGCCGAATAATAGTTAGAAAAGGTTGGCGTAGCCTTCTTTTGTCCTATGACGACGTTATGGGATGATATTTGAATTTCAGAGTGTCTTAATTAGCTTTGATTAAATCTACCGAGGATATGATTGGCTTGCCCTCCCGTCGGCATCAGCTATAAGCACAAAAGGCGAATCAGAGTAGATTGATACTTGTAAGATCTACATGCACGCATATTCTACATACGTACTAAAAACTTACTACAATATTACATGTAGTTCTAAAGGGGGGGTTGGGATGGACTTAGAGACAGGTTTGGTTTGTGGGGGATCTAGTTCGACGCTGAAAGCCGCATGGGAATCATGATTGAACTGCATATGAAACTACCTAATGTATTTAGCGAGCCGTTAGTCTGTCATTTTCGAAGTGTTTAAGGTTAATCATCTATAACAAAAGGGTAAAAAATGAGAGATCTGCGATTTGGATCCCGCTTCCCGCTAGGGGGGTTCGGACAGACCCCTGGACAAGAACAAGGATGTAGCTTAAGTACTGGTGATATAGCTTGAGTTTCCCTGTCGAGAGACACTTGGATAAAATATTGATTGAGTTATCGCCGAAAGCGTATTCCAATTTTTTCGGTGTTATTTTTCATTAAAGAAAAGAGTCCAGGAAGTTAAACGTACCTAACTAACTTATTGCGTCTTTTTAAGGAGGTATAAAGTCTTAATTAAGTCATTGATTATTATAGTTAGTGGAATCTATAACTTATAACTAACTCAAATAGACAAGTGTTTCGGCCTTGCTATTGCGGCTCAATTCCTTTCGCCTCTCTCTGCTGTACTCTCTTGGATCGGACCGTCCCGCAATAGTGCCGGGCGTCCCGTCAACTCATACGCAAGTTGATCTAACCTCTTGTCTCGCGTTCTCGAGTGGCATGGCAAGGCGCTATCATTCCCGTATTTATTAGTGGCGCGGCCGATCTGGGAAGGCGAATACGTTAATATTATATGTGGCTGTTGTAACCTCTATATTCGATCATAATAAGAATGCAGGCGATGGTTTATGGTTTATGTAGATGCACTTCGCTAAATAAGCTTTAGAATCCCATGAATGCACGATGGTGACAGCGAAATGTAGAATAATAAGCCACAGCTAGGGTCGGGCGTCCCATCCGTCATGCCCGGCCGAATGAGATTCTTTCCATCATCCCAACTTGTTGTCTCCTTTTCCAGTCTTCTCGATTCCAGCTTCATATAGAACATGTGGCTAATGAGCTAGAAAACAAGCATAAACTGTTTTGGAGTTTACGTATGCTCTCCGATCCTCTGCCAAGGTTTTAATATTCAATAATCCGCCTCTACATATTGTCGGAGGGCAATATTAAACTCGGGCATAATATTATCGATATACCTACTCCATCACTTTACTATGGTCGTAAGTAAAGATTTTCGACACGAGATAATCTCGCATTATACCGGACGGGCAGAACACTCTTTGATAGGCCATATATGTTGCTGATTCCCACCTGCTAGTATTCCGTACACGACAACTCGCGGGTTTAAAAAGACAAGTTTCCATCTAGTCCGGTCCGCTGAGGAGCTAGACTCGGTCCAATGCTCATCTTTTTCTGTATTGCAGCCCCGCTGTCCTACTCTGCGCACCTCACTAGGAGACCCCTCACCATGTCATTACCCTGTTACATACTATGTAGTCCCACGAGGCTGTGATATAACCTCGAGGCGAATGGCAAGCTGGATTCAAGCACTTTAGACGGCAAGATTAACGTGAGCACGGAATAATTTGCTAGGTACCTATATAGTAGCTCTATTCCGAATTGGGGGCATGGCGAGAATATAGATCGTGGAAGTTAGGAAATACCTACACTATTCCAAGTATCACCAAGTACCTTGTGGTCTCTCAGGGTCCCGCTAATGCTGCATGTGCATGTTGGGACCACATAGTGGTGGGAGCTCTTAGGATGGACGACAGGGGTTTGAGAGGCGCCAAGCACTGGCAACCCCATCCTACTTGCATTCGCATCGCCATATTCCATCGCAGCCATCTTGTTCACTCATACCAGGCTTTTCCGTGCTTCGCTCACCCTCTATGTGCTTCACCGTAGGCCGTAACAGGGTCTCTCACGTAAGGCCCGTACACGTGAAGCCACTACGTAGTCCTGCTGAGCTGGTAACCCGGTGTTATTTACCCGTTGTAATATAGGTAGGTAGGTAGCTTCTAACTGCTTACTGCACGCTCTACATAGTACACTATGTATTCTACTATGTATTCTACTATGTATTCTCATGCTTGACGGCCCACAAAGCTCGACTGGTTCTCTCCCCCTCTCAACTCTCAAAGTCGTACAAGGGCCCGGGAATGGGGGTGGAGAAGCTCAGTTGCGTCTTCGGGCCTTCGACGTCTGCCCATCCTCATCCCCATCCCCATCCAACCCTGTGCCCCATTAGTCCTACCCTCTATGTACATACTACGGTACGTTGCTGATGTGCATCTCCCGCCCACGTAACTTCGTTTTCCGCTAGCCGCCCCACGGTATCACATCCACGGTCCAAATAAGACCTACACTCCATCTCCGCTGCCCAAGGCCGACCCCTCCATCTGTTTCTCGCTTCTCCATGAGACGTGCCATTCATCGCTGCAGCTCAATCAGACATCGGGTCGTCTCGACTGCCCGCCCGTTTGCCTTTTGCCGACGACTGCAGCAAGGCTCCGTTTGAAAAGGCCAATCAGTTCAGCTGTGTTATTGAGACCAGCTTAGCACATCTCCATATCTCTGCAGCATTACCCTGAGGGATGGGCCTATGACCGTATACACTAATATCCTATCTTCGGTGGGAATTGCCACCCCGGCTCATTTTTAAGGGAAAAAAAAATTATTCCTTTCATATGAGTTACGAATCCCGGTGGCCCTTGAGACGGATCCTGCCTTTTCATAGAATTACTCGTTGGAATGACATTCCTTTCCACGAGCTATGGACTGCCCGTTGGCTCTAGTAGTGGATGATGGAGACATGCCTTGGTCAGACAGTCAAAGCATGGCCTCCGAGGGAAGCTCCTCTGTTGTCGTGCCGACCTCACCGCTATGGACAAATCCGGTCCAAACCAACCGAATGGATACCGGCCAGCTGTCTCCTATCAGCACCGAACTCGAGATTTCCCCCGTGGGCGCCGCCGCGTCTGCCGTGCCGACCATGATTCATTCCGCCACGTCGTCATGTGCGGAATCCTGGAGCACTAGCTATAGCGAAGGCGCTGGGGCGGGTGATGAAGCCGAACATGATATGTCATGGGAGAAGAATTCAGATGACGCATTGACAGTCCCCAAGATAGAACCTCTCGAAGATGATGGTTTCCAGATGGACGAGGTCAAAGAAGCTCCACACACCCCGACTACAGAACCGAATGCTGCGCCGGTGCCACAGATGAAGTTAAAGAGACCGAGGGGCCGGCCTCGTAAACACCCCCTCACACCCCAAGTAGCAGCGAATAAGATTGCCAAAGGCCGTTCCAAGACCGGGTGTATCACATGCCGGAAAAGAAAAAAGAAATGCGACGAGGCAAAACCACGCTGTAAGTCAAAGTTCCATCCGTCCCTTACCGCGCATCTAATCCGTATAGGTTTAAATTGTGAGAAAAATGCTGTTGTTTGTGAGGGATACCATGAGAAGACCATATGGAAGAGCGGCAAGGAGAAACAGGCAGAAGAAGGTATTGATAACCAGAACTTGGATGTGCGCTCATCCTCTAACATTCGGCGCAGACCTACAGAAGCGGCTCAGCTTGCCACAGATTACTCTCCAACCTATATTCGAGGGAGTAGAAACGCCCGAAGATATGGTCTTCTTGAATCACTACATCAGTCACTTAAGCGGTGTACTTACGGTTGAAGGGCAGTATAAGAATGCATTCAAGGATATGCTACTCCAGATGGCAGTAGAGCATCAAGGCCTCATGCACTCTATTCTTTCCGTAGCTAGCAGACATATCGACTACGATACTCCATACGGCACCAAAATCCTTGTCTCTAACCCAAAGATCAGCCTGGCTTCGCTACTGAATAGGTCACAGTTTCACCACCAGGAGGCGATGAAGAAACTTTGCGAGCCGATGGATAATGAGAGCGATCCGAAAAACAAGACCAATTTATCTCCCCGCTATGGACAGATGCTCTGTCTGCTCTTGCAAACTCTCGCAGAAGGTAATCCTAATGGCGAACATCGGGTTCATCTTCAGGCGTACAAGAATCTCATCCAACAGTCGCCACCCCCGGACGATGCCTTTTTGATATTTATCACCGAATTCTTCCAGTATCGCGTTTTTGCAGACGAGCTCATACGTTATCCTGATATTCACACACCCCGATTAGCGACTGAGGATTGGACACCTTGGCTTGAAATCCAGCCCGCACGTCTGATCGGCATTGCCGATGGTTTATTCCACTACCTCGCGCAGATAACGAGTATTCGCAACACCATCAGGGCGAACATAGCTGCCGAAGCGGATCCCGTCGTTGACTACACCTCACTATACCGAGCTGCCGAGATCGATTCTGCTATCCGAGAGTGGACTCCTCATTGGCCTCCGGGAGATAGTCGTGATCGTGTCGGGCTCCTATACAAGCAGATGATGTGGGTATATCTGTTCAGGACCATCTACCCGCCCTCATCGACAACGCCGTCTACACTATTCACCCAACCGTCAGCCAGTATCATTCCTCTATCCCCGGCTTCCCAGTCTCACTCTGCCCATACCCCACCTTCATCGGAACGACCAACAAGTAGTCATACGACGCCGCCCCGTGCCGAATCCCCGGCACCGATCCGATACCCACCTCACCACGACAACCGCATCACCATTGCCGTCGATGAATCATTAGCGATTCTAGACTCCTTCAAACCGAGTGATCCCGTGCAAACCCTGCTTCTAGTACCTTGTCTCGTGATCGGCTGCGCATGTTTCGCTCCTGCACAACGGGAGAGAGTGCGGAACGCAATCCGGACAGTTCGCGGCTACACCGGGCTCCGCAACGGCGACCGCGTTGGCGAAGTGCTCGAAGAAGTCTGGCGGTTGATGGAACGCGGCGACTGGGCACGCGTATGGGACTGGCAAGGTGTTGCGAGAAGTATGGGCCTCGACTTCTCGTGCGCTTAAGCCGTACTCATCTCTGGCCCGGCCTCAAACAACAACAACAACAACAACAACAACAACAACAACAACTCAACACAAAAGTCCAAGAACGGTCATAAACGCCGTTCCTGTTGGATACGAAGCCGCCCGGCTAACATTTTACTTTCAAGGTTCTCTTATTTCATATAACTGGGGTTTATCGCTCATTTGGTCATCACTATTATTTTACATATATACCCAAGTCATAGGTCTGGTTCATGTTGCAAAGAATAAATCGCGAAATTATACCATGGTGTCATTGTTGATGGCGGCGGCAGCGGTAGTGGTGGGCGGCGCTTTCGGGAAATGAGGACGGAATTCGTACGAAATGTGTGCGGCAAACATCAGGACGTCGGATAGAGGGCTGGGCTATCTGGGCTCGGCCAACCTCCAATATCTTCTAGACTATCTACCTTCGCATCTCTTTAGCGCGATCCGAAACTAGTAACTCCTAAAACGGTTCGATGGACAGCGTAACGGTAGCTGGCTAGGCATTCACCTGTGTTTTTGATGACGTGGCGTTTGCCCTGGATGGGGGCTCGGACGGATGGGGGATTCTTGGTCAACTTGGTTATCCCGGGGACGGCGGACTTGGTCTTTCGACAGACTACTTATCTAAACGGAGTCTTCTGGGTGGCGTTATCTCATCTTGCATTTGTTTTCTTTCTCATTCTACTGGAGCATGGTCATCATTAGGTACATACATACTAAGGGGCATCTTGCTCCTCGCCGTTCTCTTTGCGGCTTGAACATAAATGCATCTCGGTCTGGGGATCGTACATATTCTACACTCCTATGATGCGTGTCTAGAGCTAAACTCATAGTTCCCGCGGGTGAAGGGGAGTGGTGTTTCTCTAAAAGATACACAATTTACAATCAGTTTTTCCAATATCATCTTAACTTCACTCAGTCTAACTAGGTGCCTATTACATACCTAATCTAACCTAATCTACCTACCTAGTAGGTAGGTAGGCAGGTAGTTTAGTGTAGAACAGAGAGTTTAATATCTAGACAAATATGATGCCATGGCGAGCATTTGTCTTGATATCTAGGTACCTATCTAGATATCAAGACTCCGGTTATGATTCGTAAAACGGGCAAGTAGCTTACCCATATATGTTATCAAACTCATCATATAAACTTGAATGAGCTACGATCTATACGCTATCAATTTCCAGCTGTTGTCAAGCTAGCATTGCAATCACCCCCTTTGTCCTAAATAGTTACCTGAATCAATCAAGATACCAGCAATCCGATAATGAGTGTTTGTAATTAGTATGAGATACATGATAACTCATAATCCAAATCATATTTGCTACCTTTTATAAGCTAGATTTTCGCTATTTGTGATATTCCATATCACTTATTCCGCTTCTGAGACCAAACCCATATGTATGACAGGTGTCATGGTAGTTTCCATTAGGTAGGAGGTAGTCATAAGATTGCTAACATAGAGTATTCATTCAATTTATAAATCCCAGATTACCCCGTCACCTTCTATCCTTCCCTCTTCCGTAAAAGCGATCCCAATTCTACCATCGTGGTTGTTACTGAGAGGCCTCATCCCATTCGTTGGATTCGTCTATTTCAATACCTAGAGTCAAGTAGTTATCTCTGATACATAACTTGGATTTTGTATCCTAATTATTCGTGCCCTTCTAAGGCGTTTCAATTAGGTGTACTATTACATTGTACCATTAAATTTCTGGATACTTCCTGAACTGAATATGTCTCGATCTCGCCAACATCCCGCGACTAACCAGTAAGATCTAACCTTAGAGCATTTCTTTATGTAGGTTTTAGCTAACATAAATGTTAACCGGCCTTTGAAATGGTATAACGCGGACTATGACAAAACCATTGGTGATAGCGAGAACTTAGTCGTTCAAAAGGTTAAGGAGAGCAAGGGCAAACAGACCTACAAATTCCCACCACGTCCAGGTTATGGAACCAAGGGCAAGCCAAAGTCTCTCTGGGCTAACTACATAAAGATGGACATAGGAGACCTAGTACTTCATCGATACCATATCTCAGTTGACCAAGAACCCGGTGTGAGGAGGCATATCCAAATTGTCAAACTACTTCTTCAACTTCCTTGTATGAATGATTATAAACAAGGCATCATCACTGACTTCAGGTCGACTCTTCTATCACTAAAGAAACTCGAGAATATCGAAATTCCCCAAAAGATTGAATACCGTGCCGAGGATGAAGTTGAGCCACGCAAGGGCGCGAAGAAGTACAATGTCACACTTAATTACACCGAGACTCTCTCCATTTCTAACCTCCAGGGTTATGCTGATTCCACTGATATTTCGGCGATCGATAGTATTAAGAAAGAAATAGTGCAAGCATTGAATATTCTATTCAGTCACTATGCAGAGACTACTGATAGCCTTGTCACATTTGGGCTAGGGAGAGTTTTCCCGGTTAACGCTCCTCCTGAGGATAATTGCGACTTAGGCGGCGGTCTAGAGGCGATAAGGGGCCATTTCACAAGTGTTAGATGGATGACCTCTCGTTTCCTTCTCAACTTAAATGTCTGCCGCGCAGCCTTCTATGAGCCCTTGCTACTTAAGGACTTGATGCTCAAATATCGGGAGGACGTACAAGGCACAGAACTGAAGCTAGCATTCTTTTTAAGGGGGCTTAGAGTGCGGTTAAATCACCTTGATAGTTCAGAAAACGACGATGGAGCCATTTCCAGAATTAGGACAATCTGTGGCCTTGTTACAGAGGACGATGGAAAGGGTTTAAAACATCCCCCCGAAGGTCGTCGTTTTGGCGCTAAATCTAATGAAATCAAATTCTGGATGGACACAAAAGGAGGTTACATTAGTGTTTACGACTACTTCAAAGAAAGTAAGTACCCTAGAATTATCGTACCTAGTTTGCCTTGAGTTTATTAACATCGTCAGAATACAATATACGCGATGACTCACAATTGCCGGTCGTCAATGTCGGGACATCAGAGAACCCAAAATATCTCCCCCCTAATGTCTGCAATGTCCTGCCAGGTCAAGTGGCGAGAACTAAATTGACTTCCGAACAATCTCAGAAGATGATTGACTTTTGCACTGGTGGTCCCTCTAAAGACGCACTGAACATCCAGCAGATCGGATTGCCCTCAGTTGGACTGAGAGGTAGGAACGGAACCTTTGTAGGTCTTCTTTCCCCTGATAATGTAATAACTTTCTGCTAATAAATGATATAGGGCCACTTTAATATCAGCTTCCCAGAGGAAAATTCTTCGCCGAGCCTAATTACAGTTCCTGCTCGTATCTTAGATCCGCCGGTAGTTTGTTACCGCAATAAGAACCCTAGATTATACCAAACTAATACGGCCTGGAATCTCCGAGATCTGCAATTCAATAGAACCACCGGGATGAATAGATGGTCGTGTGTGATCATCATGAACCAGAATGCAACAAACTCATACGAGGGGAGTCGCGAGGAACTGGAGATATTGTTCCGAAACGAGCTCTCTAAAGTCGGAATACAATGCATAAAACCAGTAGATCTAGGCAATAACTACAAGGTTACCGTTAACAGTGTAAAAGACACGGAGGATATTTTCAAGACTGCCAGGAAATATCGTTTGAACTGGCTTTTTATCGTCTTACCAAGACGGATGCCAGCACTAATCTACAACTCTATCAAGAGGTTCGGCGATCTTCACTACGGCATTGCAACAATCTGTGTCGACGGTAATAAGCTTAGTACACAGGAAGATCCTGCTCAATACCTAGCCAACATTTCCATGAAACTCAACCTGAAGCTTGGTGGGGATAACCAGTACGTCAAATTCCATGGTTTGACCAAGCTCGACTTTACCGAGACTATGGTTGTAGGCATCGATGTCACTCACCCGTCCCCTTTATCCGGCAAGGATACTCCTAGCATCGCCGCAGTTGTTGCAAATATCGACAGCTGTCTTGGACAATGGCCGGCTGTGATCCGACGGCAAGCGGAGGCACGCCAAGAGATGGTGTCGGAGCTTGCGGATATGCTTCACTCAAGACTATTGCTATGGAAAAAGAGAAATATATCCTACCCAGAGAACATTCTGGTTTATCGCGATGGTGTATCTGAAGGCCAGTACGAGATGGTACTCAATCAGGAGCTGCCTCTTCTGCGTGAGGCCTGTACTCGCATTCCCATGTATCATGAAAAACTGCCGCGCCTCACAGTGATCATTGTTGGGAAGCGCCACCATACGCGGTTCTACGCACCTGGCACCGTACAACCCAACCCCTTGCCTGGAACTATTGTCGATCGGGGCGTGACGGAGGCCCGGTACTGGGATTTCTATCTTCAACCCCACGACGCGATAAAGGGGACTGCACGTCCGATACACTACTTTGTGCTACACGACGAGATATTCGGAACCTTTCGCAACCCAGTTAGCGAGCTAGAAGCCGTAACACATGGGCTATGCTATGCGTTCGGTCGTGCCACGAAGCCGGTTAGTGTTTGCACTCCTGCCTACTATGCTGATATAGCATGCGAGCGGGCTCGTTGCTACCTCGACCGTTTGTTCGATGATCCTGGTCAATGGACGACACAGAACGCCAAGAACTCTAAAGACGCTCAGAAACCTATCCAGGGAAAGATCCCTCCATGGCATGGGATAGACCTTCACTCTAATATTAGAGATACTATGTTTTACATCTGAGTTTATTCGGCCATGAACGCAGTCGCTCGTTCGGATTAGAACTTCAGGCGAATCTATGGGCTAGATAGAATTCGCAATGATCCCACATACGTCTGTAACAGGTACCTAGGTACTATCGTGGGCACTACATTAACCTGAATAGTGATTTGACTTTTGCGTTTCTACATATATAATAGATGGTTCTGGTTTAAGAATGGTTAGGTAGCTGGTCAATTGTGTGGCTCTCGAGGATAACAAATGTGTTGTATGAATGTTGCTATTGTAATAAGTAGTACTCAGTAGCATCATATTAACCATGAAAATACCCCTTAAATACCGCCCAAGTTCATCCAATTCCAAGACCTCAAGCCATTTCCACGATCGCTAGTGAACATACACACAATCCCTTAAGTTGAGCATGATTTTCCTGTTTACTTCTCTATCTAACCTATGCGGTTGGCGTAGGCGCATGGTAGGTAGACGACCACTGGGCCTGGTAAGTAGACGTGCTCAAGACCTGTCCGGCCGATGCCGACGTGACGACTGATTTCACGATCCACGTGTTCCAGCTCGTTACTTTCGTAACTCCCGTCATAGCACCGAGCTCAACCGATGGCGTATCGGGCCATGCACCAGACCATACAGTCGGGCCTGGAATCTGATAAGTCGTGGTACAGGGGGCAGTGGTCGTGGTCTTCGTCGAGCAGTAAACCTGAGAGGTTATTAGTTATAGTTAACTATAAGAAATGGCGGCAATGTAATAGATAGACATACATCGTAGATAATGCCGGGATCATCCCATTTGTAAGCTCCCGGAAAGCTGACACCTTCGGGTAGGCTGACATCACCGTCGCCCAAAACCTCTATCTGAATGCAGTTTGGATAGAACTGCGCCCCGCGGATAGGGTTCTTCTGGTAGCTGACCTCAGCCTCATGGAGACCAATCATCTCGGCCCTGATGAGGTAACTATAGGTCGGTTAGCAAATTCTTGTACATATCTCCGCCCAAAAGAGGTGCCCCTATCCGTCACTCACAAGCCAGCTTTGAGCCCCTTAGGGACTCGCACGTTCATCTTGCCTCCGTTTCCGGCTATATCAGCCGTGGTGGCCCACTTCCCCGGTGCCCTAGGACCCTCTCCCTCGGCGAATTTGCCCTCCTCCCAGATCTTGACGAAGGAGTTCTCGCTAGGTGGGTCCGGGCTGAGATATACCATCGCAGGGCCGTGATGTGAAGATGCGATGATGTCGTCTGTAGCCGTGCGGGCGTCATGGTGCCATTCCACTATAAACACAATTATTGTTAAGTACCTACCTAGTCTTTGCTTCATATAGCGGCGTTCTAGACCAGGAAAGCGTTACTGACTCGTGAGGTTGTCCCCGGGTGTCACTTGGATAGTATGCGGTACCTGGTGATCACCCAGCACATTGCATCGCAAGTCGATGCTGTCGAGGTCTTTGACAGGGCCATTGGCGAAGCCGTATGGTGGTGGTCCATTGTATGCCGGTGTACGGATCCCCGAGAAGGTACCGCTATCGACACCATTAACGTAGACGGACTAATCAATTAAAAATATCAGTATCGTGACGATAGTCATCTTCCCAATAAGGTAATATACTCAAAGACCAATAAAATATGACTGTTTTCTTCGATATTACTTACGTAGATATAGCAATGGGCCTGTGCAACGTCGAAGAACGTGGCCACCGCTGCCGCCACCGCGGCCAAGGAGCCCCGAAGCTTCATGATTTCAAACTCGATGCACTATTAGGACCCTGAGTACTAAAGTACAGTGACGACTTTTTCTTAGGAGCCTCGAAGGGAAAGGTGAACTAATAAATGACATTAATGCTTCTATATACGAGTGGTATTGCAGCACGACATACTTGTCTCGGCTTGAAAGTCCCGCACTGATCAATATCGCGCCTATATTAAATTCTGACGCGATTGGATAGAGCATGTAAACCGTTCGGGTTGTCTCTATATCGCAACTGAGGCTATATTTAGACGAACACTCGGCAGATCGTCACGACGGAACGTGCTGCCGAGTTGAGCCACACCAGCAGTAAAGCATTTACCCGGGAAGCACATGATTTAAGATTATCTCACTCTGGCCATGATGACCACTAGATCAGTAATATTTTTTTTCATACAGTTAACTACCTAAGGTACCTGTTATACGACATAGTAACGCTAAACAAATATCTAGGGTTAGATAATTAGAGTCATGCGTTGTCCCCCTATTAGTCGAAATATAATCGAGCATAGGCATGTACATGAAAAAGAAGGCATTTTGCTCTTTGGATTGATGTTTTTCTTCATTGGATAAAGCATAATTAGATATTTAAATAATTCATTCTCTGGATAATAAAGCTAGAGAAATATAAACTGCATACTTCATTCACAAGTTTCATTTTCCCTGATTACTATTTCTCATTAGTAAAGCCCCCATGGCCAAATTCTAGAAACCACTCACCTCTTCATATGGCTTAACCTCCACGATCAGCTTCCCAGTATTCCCACCAGTGAACAACTCGCCTATCGCAGTCTCCGCCACTTTAAGACCGCCCTTGACAATAGTCTCCTTGGTCTTGACCTTGCCCTCGACCATCCACTGCGCTAGTTGCTGTTGTGCCTCTTTGAACTCACTTATGTAGTCTATGACGATGAAGCCTTCCATACGGATACGCTGGACGGTCACCTGGAGGAGATTTCGAATGCCAGTTATATCTGGAAGACCTCCGGGTCCTTGGCCGAGCTTGTTGTAGCCGCTGATGCTGCCGCACATTATGAAACGCGAGTGCACCGCGGCTTGGTCAAGTGCCATTTCGAGAACTATGATGAGTTAGTATTCGTCTCCTCTTCAAACGAAAAGAGATGCTCTAGTGGGTATTATAAGTGATAGGTCGTGGGTAAGATCAGGGACTTATAGGCATATAAGGTGTCGAGAGGGGCTGACTCAAAGCTGATTCAGGAAATGCTTACTCTCGCCGCCCACGTTGTCAAAGTAGACATCGATAAACTTGGGCGTAGCTTTGATGAAGTCCTCGCGGAACGTCGGCGACTTGTAGTTGAGCGCGACGTCGAAGCCGAGTTCCTCTGTTAAGATCCTACACTTCTCATCCGAGCCGGCGATGCCGACCACTCGAGCACCCAAGATCTTAGCAATTTGACCGGCAACAGAACCTGTCGCGCCTGCAGCTCCCGAAACAACAACAGTGTCTCCTGGCTTGGGTTGGCCGATTTTTGTAATTCCAAAGTAGGCTGTTAACCCAGTTAAGCCTTTTTGTATATAATTTGTCAGTCGTTATATCTATGCGATCGGCGTTAGGGGGAGTCGACATACCAAGCCCTCCTAGCGCATCAGTGACCTTAGTGCCGGCTGGCAAGTTGAGTACCTCAAATTTTGCATCGTCTAGGATGATAACCTCGGTCCATCCCGCAAAACTGGAGACCAAATCGCCTGCTTTCGCCTTGGAGCTCTTGCTTGCGAGAACCCTGCCAACAATGCCTCCACGCATTATCTCCCCAATGGCAACAGGTGGCGTATAAGACCGGAAGTCTATAGGATGCAAAGCCAATGGCTACTGTCAGCTTGGGTAGAAACATAACGTGTTGGTTATACTTAAAAAGACAGCGAGTGCTAGGGGTGGCTTGATGTGAAAAATGGGTGACTGACCATGCAGCATGGAGCGCATAGCGGGATCCAGAGACAAGTAGAGAGTTTCTACGAGGGCCTGGCCATCCTCGAGCTGGTCCGCGGTAGGTGCATCGGTCTCTACATACTTGAAAGTTCGTCCCGGGATGATATCGCCCTCAGGTCGTTCGGCAAGGTGGAAGGAGTGGTTCTTGCGCGCCATTCTGAATGATTAAGGGATGAAAAATTTATAGTGAAAGAAAGGTAGGAGTGATGCTGGGTTTGGCGAGTATAATTCAATGAGATGTGCGATCCCCTAATATTGGTTGATGGATGGGATGCTGGTATGATTATATAGTGGAAGGTACCAGAATAACTGGCGCACCTGTGCTAACAATTGTGGTGCCAACGTATGTTAGATCGAAACTACAAGGTAGGTATTACAACACCGGATTTTAAGGAGTAAGGGGGTATAATTCCACATTGAGTGTGAGACCAGGCACGTATTATGAATAATAAAAGATTGCATTTTCCGTTTAATTATTTAGGATATTAGTTCATGACGTCTTTGAATGCTACACTAACCTTCCTTTTTCTTAATTCATAATTGAGTTTTAACTCCGAGGGCATTACATACTTACGGGACATGAGAGAAACAAATCTGGAAGGTTATTAGTAACCTTAATGATATAAATGCTCTCAGATTTAAGATACTTATCTAACCTAAGGTAATATAAGGTGGTTTGCTAGTAGCGTGTATCTAAGGCTTAATACCGCAAGGAACCTCAAGATAAAAATGGTTAATATTTCATCATTAGTGACTTGAAAAGGCAGATAGAGTAGCCTTTTACACGTCATGTTCTAGTCCCAAATGCGTCCCTTGCCAAATAAATACTTACGGTCGTATTTTGTCGTATCACACCTCGCTTGTGCCGCTTAGATAGGCGATACCCCTGTCATACATGTTAGTCAACCGGTACAACTATCAGTCCGTCGGGCATTTACAATCATAGGACAACTAAAAGTTATGTGCTATCACCTTCATGCGAAAAACTAAAAATGTTAGGTATTTGTAAGCACCTATCCTTCTATTAAAATTTATATACTACTAATAGGTATGCCCCGCGTAACATTTATATGGATAAATATCTTCCCCTTTTTGTGATATCTACTATATTTCATGGTGTGTTTGGAGAAGTAGTCCTCGAAGTATAGCTGTTTGGTTCATTAGCAGAGGTCACTGTGTTGTCGTACAAAGTACACGTGATCATACGTGAAGAGCATTATAACAAGCCTGAACCATTATATTCTCTTGTCAATTCGCAAGAATATTACATTGTTTGCTATGTACAAAGAGCCAGACGGAGCGATCCATTCATGGTTCAGAGTCCCATACACGATCCTCATAAACTGGTACGCTTCGTCCATCCGCAAGCTATCAGGAATTGCAATTACCTACCTTAGGTACCTATATATAAAAATACAGTAAGGGGTATCGTAGCCATACATTGTTTCTCTGCTCGTTCATCCTAGTGATTACTTTTTCCAGCACCTAGAACTCGTAAATTGTTGGTACTGTTTAATCTCTTGGAGACTGAACCAAACCTGACTAAAAGTGACAAGCTGAACCGCCCCTTGTGCCATCAAAAAACGCCGACGTATTGAGAATTTGGGTTATCGAGTATTGCAATGATGAGGCTTGGCAATAACTAGACCAAGAAACCTTTCGTTAGTGCATTCATCGATGCACTCCCAATTGAGAGTTGCTATAGGTGGCTCGATAAAAGATCTTGGAACCCGTTCATGCCAACTTCTGAAGACACAACTTCGGGAAGTTACTGGACCAAGAAACAAATATGGAATCACCCGCTACTCTTAGAATGGAGTGCCCCCAATGCAGAATGAAACTTGTTGGGTTCCTGCAAGATATGGCGGAAGGGGAAAAGGTGATATCATGTAGCATACATCTACAGTCAATATTACACATTACAAATGTGCCGGAATGCTCTCCACTTCGCTTGCGTTTGTATCGCTGCTCAGTTCTTCCTCAACATCCAAGCCTTGCTCGTTATCACTGGGTTCGTTCATTTTCGTGGCAACCTTGCGCTTGCTGGAAATTGGAGTTCGAGAAGTTGTGGCTTTGCTGGATAAGCTATGACGCTTCTGGCTTTTAAAAGCTCTCCGTGACCTAATATTGGCGATAGGAGACTCAATCGAAGATTCGCGATGGAAGTTTTCGTCTTCTTCCACATTGTTTCCTAGGTTATTGCTGTCATCAGAGGTATGTTCCGTTCTAACTTGCTCTGGGAGCTCTTCGTCCTCCGATTGGTCACTAGAAGCACTCTCATCGTCACTCTCGCCTCTACTTTGAACGCTGCCTTTGCTCTTCTCGTTCTCAGCCTTATCCTTATTCTCTCCAATCTGCTGATCTTCCTCGTTGCTTTCTGCATCTTCCTCCTGGCTGTCTTCATCTGCGCCATTTTCCTTATTATCGTTCGCGATCTCCTTGTCGTTATCGTCGTCGTTGTCGTCCTCATTGTCGTCCTCATCATCATCCTCATCGTCGGTCTTAACAACGGTGGCTGGAGTCTTTGGTCCGCGCTGAGTCTTACTTAAGATCTTGTTGACCTTGCGCTCGATTTCACTATATTCCGCATTTTGATCATAGTCCTCGCCACTTGGGAAATCGAGCTCTTTGGTCTCATGATACTTCACACTGAGCTGTTTGATAATCTCAGGGACAGTCATGATACCATGGTCGGGGACGGAATGCTTCAAGCGGTACCAGACTAAGATGATTGTAGGACGCTGCCAACGACCACCCAGCTGCTTTCTAACCTTCGCCCACGGAATACGACCGTCTGCGTTGACACCGAAGGTTCGAATAGCTTTGACAATGCTATATCGGTCTCGGCTTGATGTTGTTTCTGCCTCGTCCCGAGCATTCTGAATGATCTGACCGATTGGAAGATTCTCACCGCCGTCTATGCTACCAACACCATCTTGCACTTGCTTCTGCATAAGCTTCCACTTCTGAATACACTGGAGTCGGCTACGTGTTCGCTCCATCAACTCGCTGACTCTTTGCCAATCAATCAGATCCTCATCGGACTCATTTGATACAATATGTCCTTCTTGGCGACGATCCCGAATTACTTTGACGGCGTCGGATATTATTGACCGGAGTTTTTCTTCTTCGTCATAAGTCCATGGGTCAACGCGCCGAGTCTCGCCACATACGACGTAATTTCGTATGCGATCCCGTACGTCTTCGGGATGACGATTGATGAGCTTTCCAATTACGGCATACTTGGATCCATGTATCTCCCACATCTTCTTTAATTCGTCGTGCTGCTCCGGAGTCCATGCACCACGAGCAACAAAGTTGTGGAACTTTCGACGGCACTGATTTATCACTTTCTGACGACGACGGTTTGGGCAAGTAGCCACAATGCGAGCCCAAAATTCTTGGGATTTGACTTCTCGGGGGTTGCCCTGAATAAGATCATTCACTTCGGATTGAGTCAAGTTGTGGTCATCTCTCCAACGTTCAACGGCCTGAGTAATGTTACGAAGCTCGAAGTCACTAAATTGGCCAGTAACCAATTCATGAGGTTGCGTCTCCTTCGGGGGTGCTCGACGTTTGGATGGGGTTTTCCTTGGTGTGGGAGTATTAACGCCATTTCCTTGGAGCATAGCCGAGATTTTGGCTTGTTTCTTTTCTGTGGCGGAAGAGGAAGAAGCCTGTTTAGGTAAACTGTTGGCATCGCCCTCTGCCTCACGTTCGAAAAATGTCGGCTTGGCAACACGCTTTCGTGCCGAGCTTTGCTTAGGCCGAAGACCGATACTGCTACTGTTATGGATATCTTCAAAATCCGGTGGATACTCATCATTAGTGGTATCGGCGTTAGGCATAGTCTGGGAGACTAAATTTCTATCGCTAATACTCTTTTGTTCTCCCCTGCCATCGCTCCCCTTATCAGATTCTGGCTCTTCACCATCGCTATCTCGATTAGTAACATGATTCTGGTTATCATCGGACGAACTATCCTCGGATGACCCTATCTCCATCTCGTTGGATTCTGTGCTAGGGTGTATAACCTGTCCGAGGTTTGGACCGTCACCATTCGCGTTCAAATCGGAGACCGAAGAATCGTGTGATATGGATTCTTGCCTAAGGTTGTCCGGCGACACTCTTGGGGCGCTGGTGTCCATGGAGTCATCCTCAATGACTTCCAGAGCCTTTCTGTTCTTCCTGCGACCGGCATAGAGACTCTCAGCAAGACCACTGAATGAAGTTGCCGAATTCACTCCAAGGTTTCCACTGCTGTCGCGCTTTTGTCTCTTTCTGTCCTTACTAGCCGAGCCCAGTATCTTGCGTTTCTTTGACAACAAGGCCCTTGATGGTGTAGACTCTGTAGTCGTACTATTGGTAGTATGCAAGCCAATGATGGGACCTTGTTGAGTCTCTTGGACTTCATCGGCTTCTAAGGATTGAATGGGATCGTTAGGCATTTCAAGGTTGCCTAAATCAGGAGATGCTTGCAATCGTGGTTTCTTTCGGCGCATTTCATTCCTCTTCTTACGCTTTCGGCGTGCACTGAGAGAACCTTCCTCGGCGCCTGGTGAGGAACTATTAACGCTTGTTTCGTTATCCACTGCATTATCGGAATCGAGGAAGCGGGGTTGTGATATTAGGCTGGGTCGATTTCCACCTCTTCGTTTCTTGGGCTTGCTTGATCCAGGAACTGGTGTTGAAATCTGCTGTTTATAATCTGGAGATTCAGGTATTTCGACTTCGGCGCCCTGCTTCGGCAACATCGTAGCCGGCTGTTGTGGGAGAGGTGAGCTAGACATTTCGATGTCTAATTGATTATACTGTTGATGAGTCGGACTAGGAGGCAGACGAGTTGCGGATGGGGGCACTTGACTCGAGAAGACAATATCAGAGGACTGAGGAGTATATGGTGGATGAGAAGGATGGGGTGGTGATAAATCCGGAGCGCCTCCTACACCGTCAAATTCAGTTTTCACTTCAGTGCTCAGTTGATTTCCCATGGTCTAGTGCATTTTCCCGTAAGTTGAAAGTTACGAATAGTGCCAAGTGGAGGAAATGAATAGTTGACACGGTATAAGAGGGGCAAGCTCTCTGGTGACCTTTTAATGCCGTAGAAAAGAGGTCAAAGTAGTATAGGATGTAGAGTCTCGATAGATGTGCAAAGCGTCCGAGCGCTACGCAATTGTCCTAAGTAGAATAGGACTTCATTGCAAGAAACAAAGTGCAGACTTCACAAACACCAAGGGGGATAGACAATTCCCTTCTAGGTAGTCGGCGATCGAGGTGAAGGAAGGCAGACGTAAAGAAAGCCGATGTGAATTAATTGGGGGTACGCGTTAAAGTTGGTGATGTGTGACATTCCGTCGCGTCTAGCTGAAAAAAAAAAAAAAGTAAAGGTGGGCTACCTACAATTAAGTATTTACAGGGGTCCTTTGTGGCATACATGTACATATGTGCCTTCCTCCGTGCGGGGTCTACCTAGTCCGGTGTACTTGCACAATCGCAACTGCTCTGTAGGAAATTTGTGACGGCGTAACTGCATGCTTGATGTCCCTAATTGTGCAAGATTCATATTAAAATGCGGCTTCCTTGGCTTAGAATTTCCTCGCTCTTACTAACATTGCCGGAATCCCTTTCACAATAGACTATAAAGTGCTTATGTACCTGATTCGACTATGTGATGTGCTACCAGAGCTGCATGTCTTACTCCACTTTCGTGCAGTTCTTTATACGTTTTGATACATAAGATTACCTCGGTTAAGTAGGTATTCAGCCTTGTAGACTACATAGGTATAAGCAAGTGTTTGAGTACTCTACTGACAGGAGTTGGAAACCACTATTAGAGTCGATTACAAACAAGAACAGAATATATATAAACTACCACCTACAGACATTATACTACATAAACAGCGTAACCCCATCTCCTACACCACCCCCTACTACCCGAACCCTTGCCCCAATCTCTAAAGGATTACCTTCGAACACAACAAACTCCCTTGCATCATCATTTTCCTTTAGTCCCAACAGCTCATACACATTATCCGAGACCAAATCCAGGGCATCTTTCTCACTGAGCTTACCCTGGCCGTTTTTATATGCGATCCCGGCGAGTAAGCCTACGTCGCGCACTAACCAGTCTTCATTAATACCAATGGCTACACGAACTCCGGCCTCAACAAGCCTGTCTACCGCGGTACCGTTTGTTAGAGGCGCCCCGGTCAGCGCCCGCCGCTGGTCCCACGAGTTACGGTATGAGAGCAGAGGGTTGAGCACGACACCCACCTTCGCTGCTGCCAATTCGTCCGCTAGCAGGAAAGACTCGGCGCCGCCGATGATGATAAGAGAGATGTTACCACTACCTCGGGAAGAAGCAATAACATTATCAACAGACTCCTTCACCCTTAAAATAGTGGCGATGACATCAGCGCTGTGAACCGTGATAGCCAATGGCAGAGAGCCATCGATCACTTTACTTAAAAATGCAGCTTCGGTGTAGGGGTCTGCGGTGGTAGTATTGGAAGTAGAAGCCTCGATCAGCTTGTGGCGTAATGTATTGACGGCGTTCGAGATCGAAGTGCTACCACGCTTCGCGCTCAGATCCAACGTATAGTGTACCGCTGCATCGTCGGCGAATATGGCACCATCGTCAAGGGCATGCTTCGCAGCAGTACGGAATCCCACGCTAGTGCCTTGGTGAGTCGCTTGTCCCGAGTATTTAGGTGCCGAGATGGCCCTGGTTACACCATATTTATACGCGTAATGTAATTTCTTTGTCTCAAGTGCCAACCCGTCGATACCTCGACTAAATATTTCCGGACTACCTCCATTTTCGGTATCCTGTTCGGCGTCAATACCATTGAGTCCGAGAAGAGAGCCGAATACCGTGAACGGTTTGGTTAGATGGCCATTTTCGAGATGGATGATTTTGACTCCTGATTTGGAAGCCATCTCAAGCTCAGTTTCGCAGGTTCCTACACAAGCAATTTTACCACGCGAAATCACGACAGTAAAATCCCCATCGTGGGAATTATGTTGCTGGGATGGTAAAAATGATTTGGAAATCCCCGTAAAGACTACGTCGCCCACAAGAACTGTTTCTTCAGTAATAGGAGTCTCCGGCGTAAAATTACGCGGGGCAGTAAACGGCTTCTTCAACTCGACAGGATCCTCAAACTGTGCTGTCCCGTCTATCCAGACTTGGACCGGCGCGGCCCCAACGCTCAATGGGTCGCTATCCCATACAACAACATCGGCATCAAATCCAGGCTTAACCTTACCTATTCGCTGTCCAAGGCCAAGTCGCTCAGCGGGGGCTGTTGTGACTGAAGCTAAGGCAGCATGGTAAGGCAATCCATATCCGAATGCCTTTGCGGCTTCAAAGACAACATGCTGGGCATTTAGAACTGGATTGTCGCTCACGTAAATAGGGGTCAGTCCATTGTCGTACAGCACCTTGCCAGCATATTCAGATCCAATATAGGCTTCGGCCTTATACCACATGTTATCGGCAAACAGGGCCGATGCAGGTGGGGTATCACCATATGCTCGTTTGAGGATTTCAGGAACGAGGAACGTCTGGTGAGCATGGTGAAACGCTCGGATCGGAAACTTGAACTCATTGGTGTGGTCCACGAATGCTTCCAGATCTGGGACCGTGTAGCAATGGGTATTAACATGAACGTGTCCACGTAGTACCGCAGCTAGTGTCTCCCACTCCAAGTCTTGAGGCAGATAACTATCCATCTGTTCAACACCGATGGACTCGGCTAAGGTGCACCAGTCATTTTGAGCTTGGACTTGCTTTGCAGCCTGCTCGAAAGCATGTCTGAATTCCCAAGACTCGCCAAGTCGGCTAGTAGGTCCATGCTCACCAACTTTACCATAGGTTCGCTTAGAATTCTCTCCACAAGCCATCTTGATGTATCTCCAAGAACGATCCGGATCGGCCAATAAGTCGTTTATCGAAGTTTCATTGCGACCGTCAGGTATACCAACAGCATGTTTAATAACGAAGGCTTCGCCGCCGATGTTGTTACTAGAACCCGGTAACACTAAACTTGTCGTTACTCCTCCAGACTTTATAACCTGAATCTGGTGATCGAATACATTTATACCATCAATAGAACGGACGTATGGGGTTATATTAGAACCCATCTCGTTTGTATCATCATTCCCAGCTAACTCCGGTAGACTATCGACGCCGGCATGGCTGTGCATGTCGATGATACCACTCGTGAGTTGACGACCTTTGGCATCCCATATCAAGGTATCCGATGGGAGTGAGCTAGCATCAATATCCTTCCGGACTTCCTTGATGAGCCCGTATTCCAATAGAACGTCGGCGTTTATCCACGAAAAGCCCTTGCCAGCGCGTGCATCCTCGTCGCTAGTCCCCTCGGTGGGCTCGCCAACCCAAATAGTGGCGTTCTTGATAAGAGTGGGCTTGTGCCCATCAACATAACGCGCATTCCGCTCCCGACCTAGGCCAATGGGATCTTGCGGCTTAGAGCGTAGCTTGGCACAAGTCCGTAAGTCCTCGCTCAACTTCTCAATTGATAGTTGAGATACCGAGCGGCCCTTTAGGCGAGTATCCATTTGCCACCATTGTGCGTAGACGATAAATGCGAGGCATGTCAGAGCGAAGAACTTAATAGCCCGAGAACGCCGTACAGACCAGCGCCTGCGCCAATCCGGTGCAGCTACGGCACTGTAAGGAGGGAGCTCGCCCTTCCCGTACTCCATTTCTTCCGATGTGGTTTACGATGTACGGATGAAAAGGGAGGAGGAGGAAGAACAAGAAGAAGAGAAGGAGAGTTTAAGGGAGGCTGGTGTTGATCGTTGGAGAACGTCCAATAACCCCACGATCTTGGACGAGACCTAGCCAATTAGAGAAGGTTTCAGTACGACTTACAAGGGGTGGTTAAGCTCGCGACACCCCACAAAGATAACGACACCACTACCGGTAAATTAGTTACGACTTAGATGCTCCTATTTAGCATGTATAATAACAATCCATAGCTGAGTCTCTGGGTTCATATATACGTTGGTTTTATAGTGTTAGTTATATATAAGTCATAAGATGGAAGTTTACAACTATAAATCCAACCTAATCAACGGATGCTCGTATTTAAATGGAAGTCAAATAGAGCTCCTACAAAGGTAAATTTAGAAAATAAAGTCAACACTAATATGGGCATCCCGATACCAGCTTGAACATATTACCTACATGAGTTTTGTACACATATTGGTAGAACATCCCCAAGCTGGGTCACAATCACGAAAGTGATTAATTTCCTATGAAGTTGCCCCCTAAGAGACATTTACGGCAACATAATACAATTACGAACCGAATGCGAAGGGCACGCATTATTAAATGGCAATTTAGGAGAGCTTGCTTCAGAAGAGTCACTCGAGAAGCAGTGAATAAAGACAGTAGAGCAGCATGGCAATAACTCAATAAACATGAATTACATACCTAATGATTAATGCGAGCATCCATTTTTTTGTGCCTGCCAGTAGAAAAAGGCAAAAGCATTACCTTCATCCTATCAACCTTTAGAGGTATGGCATCCTTGGCAATTAGTTACATGAAGTTCCTGGTTTTTTTTGGGTTTTTTTTTTGGCAATAAAGCAATCGATATCCTCCCTTTTCACCCTCTCCCTTGGTCAGTCGACCATCGCCTCAGGAGGATTACTCTACTCCTAGGCCGGGTTCCCATTATCCTCACCCGACCACCTTACTCTCGACTCTCCTCCTCATCGTGCTCGTCTTCATCGGCCGTGGCAAGGTTGGGGGTAGCAACGGTCGGCTTCTTCAGCGCCTGGAACGCGCGGCGCAGCGAGCCGGAGAAACTGCTCGCGGTTCTGAGCGTTGCGGAGTGCGTCGAGTCGGACATCTGCGAACTTGTCTTTCGCACTTGCTTCTCAACCTTCTGGCTGGCTTTAGCCTTGGCCTTCTCGTCCCTCTTCTGGGCGCGCTCCTTCTCACGCTCTTGGCGCTTCATGCGCTTCTCCTCTTCTCTACGCTTCTGCTCTTCTGGGTCCACGGGCGAGTATAGGAACGGGCCTGGGGCCGGTCTCATGACGAACTGGTCGTCCGTATCGAGCCACATGGGGTTCACGGAGAGACCGCTTCCCGGCTGGCTGTGGTGCTGTGATCCTTGTCGCGACTGGCGACTCGTGGTCGAGCTAAGAGCCGAGGGCACACGAAGCGCAGGCTCCGGAACGATGGGTGCGGGCGCGTGGTGCGTGTGGTGCGCATGAGGGGTAGGCGGGATATGGGGGGTAGGGGGGATATGGGGGGTATGGAGGGTATGGAGGGTATGGTGCGCGTGCTCATGGGCCGCGACGTTAGGATGGCTCGGTGCATCGTGAAAGAGGCCATGGTGGGGGTTGTAGTAGAAGGGATCATCCTGCGGGCCTGCAGGCTGACCAACCTGCTCTTCGCGCTCGATAGCTTGCGAAAGCTCTTCAAAGATTCGGTCTTCGGCCGTAGTATTGTGCGCGTGAAGCTCGGCACTGCTCTAGAACGCAGAGATTCCTGGCGCGCGCAATATAACCTGATGGCGGATGAAAGTTCTCATGCCAGCTTCGGTTCGCAGAGGTTGTTGGTACAGACTATGCTGCAATGCTGCTAAAGCAGTAGGTCGACTGACTCTGCCAGTGTAATCATTGGCTTGGAAATCGGTCATCTCATCGCGGATGATGGCTCGGATATTCTCGCTGCCTAAGGCTCGAGAGGGGGTGCTCGCAGCAATGATTGACGATGGGTGAATCTGGTCAGTTCCTCGGCGGGCACGGCGAGGTCGTTGAGGCTCGGCCACCGGAGCTTTAGGAAGCTCTTCAGAATCTGATTCTTCGGGATCCACCACTCGCTGAAGAGTTCGCTGGAATCGTTCGACCAGGGGAGTGTTCGGGTCCGGATCCGGGTCCGGCGAATAGTTTCCAGCAAGTCGCTGGAGTTCCGAGGTGGCGTCCATTACGCTTCGGGGAGTCACTGAGGATATCAAAGGTTAACAAGGGATATAGTGAATAAATAGAAATAGAGTAGCCTTACAATGGATTCGCGAGATGGTTTGTGCGCCCTGGCTTGTTTCGCGATGGGCTAGAGGAGATTCTGTAAATAGGTCTCGTAAGCTCATGACACAAAATAGAAAAAGATTTTCGGGGGCTCGAGAGAAAATGTTTCCATACCAGAATGAATTTGCGGAGCAGAGCTGACCAAATCGGTCTCGTTCTCTTGTCCCTGCTCGATGTGCGGGTGCTCCGGGTGCTCCTCGCTGCGGTCTGTTCACGGTCAGATCGATTTCGCGATCTATGCTCAGAAAAAAAAAAAACTTACTGTAGTAATCAGAGCCCTGGGCATCCATCGTCTCGGACTGCTCCGAAATAGAGGCTTCTTGCCCTAGGTCTGCCATCTCCTGGTTGGCCACTGTAAGCAACTTCGGGCCGTCTTCGTTATTCGTAACAGGGCCGGCCAACAATTCAGCCTCAGACTGTGTGCTAAGTGAGTAGACCGAAGACTCGACTACCGAATCATCATCTCTAAGGAAAGGGAATCGCACCGTAGCTGCAGTTAATGGTTCTCTAGGTACCACGTCCTCCGTCAACGTGCTAGTTGTCATTTCTTCGGGTGAAAAAATACCTCCTCCGGCTAGTCCTTCTGATAGTCTACGCAAGTTCGTAGTAGACTTGCTTCTAGGCAACGCAGCCTGTTCGTGATGGGGTGGTTTGGCTCCCTTGAGATTTTGTGCTCTTGGGTGGTGTCGAGGCGGTGGTGGTGGTGGAAAGTTTGGAGGTGGGAAGGGTGGTTCCAGTTGAAGTATTGTTGGTAGACGCAGAGGGACGTGACCTGGATCCATTTTAATTTTATGCTTGGATTGAATAGCATGATCAGAATCGCCGACGTGCAAATGGTCGTCGACACGTAGGCTGTCGTCGACATGCGGGTTGCCGGCGACTTGCTGGGGGTCGGCGACTTGCTGGGGGTCGGCGACTTGCTGGGGGTCGGCGACTTGCTGGGGGTCGGCGATGTGCTGGCGATCGGCGATGTGCTGGTGGTCGCCGACAGATGTATGATTATCAAATCTTCCGTCACTGGCAAAACGTCTACGATCTGCAATGGGCCTAGGGTCGGCGACGTATGTTGAGGCACCGAGATATCCAGGGCCGACAAGAGCTTGAAATTCAGCAACATGGTCTTTAACCTCGGGATTACTAGAGCTTGACGTTCTCTGTTCTTTACGTCCTTTGCCTGATACATCTATATCATCTACTGATCCATCTAATTCCACCAAAACCTGTTAGCCATAGATCTATAGTTGACTGTAGATAACAGAAACAGATGACCTTCACAGGTCTATGCAAAGTCTTGAAAGAAGCGTTAATTAGACAACATACCTTGAAGACTTTCTCCATTGTCTCTGGGAGGATTGATATCCCCTGTTCTCACCCTTGTCGCTTCTGTGTAGCTAGTAGAACTATTGATGCTTGGAAGCTTAGAAGGCTTTGGAGAGTCCTCCTCTAAGCTCTCTATAGTCTCATCAAAAGCTGCTTTATTAGGCAAGGCGGCAAACTTCACACTTCGTGACGAAAGAGTCTTTGAAGACGTTGCAAATGATGACTTCTGTGCCGATAATGACTCATGAATAGAAGATAAATGAGTAGTCTCCTTTAGACCCTCCTCTAGTTCCATGTGAGACTTAGGGGGCGGTTGACTAAAGAGGTTTGTCTTTAGAAATGATGCATCCTCTGGGGACATGTACGCGTCAATCAAGCTTTCGACTGACCTTCTTAGGGGCGAGATGTCAACAACATTGTTCGTAATCTCCTCTGCCAACTCAGACTGCGAACTTGCAGGTGGATTGCCACGCCTCTGGGCGCCGCGAAGTCCCCTCGGTGGTATAGGCGAGGGTATACTTGACGCCTGGACTGGTGTTTTGTCAGGCGGTGGATACAGAACGTATTTATGGCGTCTTTCAGACATGATTGCTGTTGCGACGCGACGCGACGCGACTACGAGTGAAGTTGTATCTTAAGTGTTCTGTTAGTACTTCTCAATAGCAATAATGGAATTAGATATTTGAAGGACTTGCTTTGTAAAATTTCCAGATGAAGATGGAATAAAATACTTAATGAGGCCGGGCTTTGAATTCACCACAGGAGGATGATTTGTATAATAATAGTTACCGAACTTTTCATAAAGGTATAAGGGTCAAAAAAGGGCAAAACTTGTCGCGGTTATCGGATCGAGATGCACATGACGTGTGCCGAAATCAGGTAGTTGCGATTTAACAAAATTGCACCTGTGGGGATTGCAAGAAACGGCGTTGAATAAAAAAGAAAGATGTTGTGTGGAAAAGATGTTGTGCGGAAAAGATGCTATGCACAACCAGGTCGGCGTGGGGAGAATCTGAAATGGTAAGCCTGTGAACTGCGGGACGCTTAAGAGTTACTGGCTTTGCCCGTTGTCAAGAGCCAAAACATACACCGAAATCATAACTGACAAAGAGGATCTATCTTCTAAAATATTGACAAGTTGGAATTTTAGATATTTGGACCAATTGTTAGTTATTTCTTGAAGCATTTCAGCAGATATTAGACAGGTCACGGTACGATAATGCTATGCAGGCTGTTTAGATATCCCTTAAGAACATGTCCTCGGTTTATTCCTAAGATCTAAATGAACAATTTTTTTTTTACATAGGTACATTGTTATGACTGACTGTATTAACAAAATAGAGGGGTTCTCTTTGCTCATTTTGATGTTAAAAATTGCCCGATATAAGTTTGCAAGTCTTTATAAAGTCTGGAGGTTCTTGATGACTAGGAGGATTAGATACATGAGGTAGGTACCTAGGTACGTACTTGCTTCGTATGTACATGTAGGTACATAAATACGGCGGCAGAATAGCGTCAAAAAAAGTGCCGATTTTGTAAGTACTAACATACCAAAATGCTCACTTTCCTATCTACTTAACTCAGCGAAATCTTCAAGCATATCTTTATGACATATATCGGAATAGAATTTAGAGTCTATTTTATCTTAATATCATTTTTGGTATTTTTTCTGCTCTATAAATCTTAAGATAACCTTTTACAAAGGTATTCCCCTTGTTAGGCACTTATTTTGACTCCATTCTGGGCGGACCACCAGACGTCATTTAAAACATAAAACAACAGGGGGGTAACCCGGCTGTTTGGGTAGAGCTGCGCCACTACCGAGAATCCTTAGAAGGCCTCCGATAAGTGTGGCTCCTACAAGGAAGCAACGCGCAATCTCCCGGACTCTCCTTAATGACTTCCTCCCGTTTTTGTCACATTTCACTTCAATTCTCGGAACTACGGCAAAGTTAGCAGTTACCCCAGCTCTCTTCATGACCAACGATTATATTTACGATGCTGCCGGGACTAACGAACCGGATTACCCCTTTTAGGAGGTCAGCATGTAAGCGCCTCAATGCTACCTCGACACGCGCTGGGCTGGTTTGGCCCCCACAACAGCGATCGTTCTCCACAACAATGGCTATGAGGTACCAGATTGGCCCGGAGCCAGAGGCAAGACAGTCATTGTTCTCTAAAATGGGCGAAGCTGCAGCTACAACTTTTGCTTCTGTCGTAGTTCTAGGCCTTGGCTTCGCCGGCGCTGGTTACGCTTATCACCAGTCGTATAAGTGGTTACAGCTCCAGAAGATTCACCACGCGTTTGAGCCAGGAGCCGAGCCAATTCTGGCATTGGCAGGGAAAAATGTACCAGCACCACCTAATTGGGTTATCCGAGAAGAGCAGACTAGAATAGACGATATTGTTTCGGCAACTGAGACGGGTCATTATTACCTGTTGATGGGCGATAAAGGATGCGGGAAAAGCAGCATGCTGATCGAAGCTATGAGGAAAGTGGATGGAGATGGTTGTGCCATGCTCGAAGCATCTAATAGCGTCGAAGTCTTCCGTATAAGACTGGGAAAGGCAATCGACTACGAGTATCACGAGGATTACATCGGAGGTTACTTCAGCGAACGTGGTCCTAGAGAATCCACGGCGTTGCTCGACATAGAGAGGGCGATGAATAAGTTAGAGAAAGTGGCGCTGATACATCGGGCGAAGAAGAATAAGCCCCTGGTCCTCATCATTAATCAGACCCATCTAATTCGAGACGACGACGAAGGCAAAGATTTATTAGAACTACTTCAGCACCGGGCAGAGGCCTGGTGTGCTTCAAACCTAGTTTCGGTCGTCTTCACAACTGATGATTATTGGATTTATGAGCGACTAAAAAGACGTGCTACGGAGCGAATGGTGGTTATGCCAATTAACGATCTGCTGAAGCCCCAAGCGATAATGGCACTGCAAAAATACCGACACCGTTACTTTGGGGAAGATGTGGATATATCTATCCTCGAGGAGATCTATGATAAAGTCGGGGGTCGGCTCTCCTTTCTAAACCGCGTAGCTAAGTCACGCGATATGCTTAGTACATGTGATCGCATTAAGGAGATCGAAAAGACATGGTTTCTAAATTCTTGCGCCATATTGGGATCCGAAATGGATGATGACGTAATGGATCAACAAAAATTCTCGGTAAGTTTTCTCTTTCGTTGGTAATGGAATATTTTCCGAGTCCGCAGATGTGTACATGGTATAAGATGATGAGCATGGTAGTCACGTGGCACATATGCATGCGTTAGCTTCTGCCTTTAAGTCCGCTTACAAGACCCCCTATATCTCAAGAACTCACTAACATCTGCCACAGTCAGCCTCTATGGTACTCGCGTTAGCCCTTGTTGACAAAGAAGAGGATATGGAACAAATCTATGACCCGGAGACAGGACATATTCTCCCGTATTTTCCAATGCATAAGGCGCAAGAAGTCATGACTCGAGCGGATTTCATCCGAGAGCTTGACCGATTAAATATATTTACTATAAACAGCGAAGCTCACGTACGTGCCAGCTCCGTGCCCATGCAACGTGCATTTAAGGAAATATGTAGCGAACCCGGGTTTCGACAGTTCCTCCAAGATACTCTAGATCGTATCGCGGCTATTGAGAGTTTAGGCCGTACAAGGGAATTGGTTGCAAAAGACCTAGTCCTTGGCGGGAAGTACCGCATTTCGAGCCCTATCAGCCTAGATGGCAGGGTCGAGGTTCGATTAGAACAAGACAAGAAAGACTAAAGATTGGGAAAATTCCGATGTGGTTATTCAACTACCATGGTATGCAATCGTCAGCTGCAGGGCCAGCTTTTCTTTTGTTGATCAAAATGGGCATAGATTTTGTATCAGTACTGTACCATATTACGCACTAATGTCTGTACATATTTCATCTGTATACCACGTTCTATTTGCAATTTGCAATTTAGTTGGGGTCTATATCGATGCTCAGCATCTTACAGAGGCAGCCACGCGGTTCTATCATGCATAATTCGGAATTAGATAGATATTTTATCTTTTAATCTGATTTTCGCACCTTTACCCTAATTATCGGATGCCTAAGAATATTCACTTGACAGTACCGAAAATATACAACACGCGTTGTGTTCTCTGGCGCTAGTTCACTTGAGAAGCTTCCGATTACATATTGCTGCCTTATTGAGAGAATGAATAAATAAAGTCTATAAGGCTTAAAGAGAATGTATGTTAGAAGATCGTTCTCTAGGAGATTTGTCACATTGAAAATTTTTTGGTCCATTAATATATAGTAGTCGAGAAAGAATTCGTATTAATAATGTATGGCTACAGTCATGAAAACTAGTATCGCATTTATCTAAGGTAGATATACAGGTAAACAGGCATATTGCGAAGAGAAACTATGAGACTGGAGGAGAATTGGTCCGAAACTCGTACTTGTCCTTAGGCTTTGGTGACTATCTTCAGGTTAACTAGTGTCGGATTGCATGTCGTTTTGATGATGTGTACTATGCTACATGTTTGACCAAGAATGTGAGCGATGTACTAGATTGATAGATGCTACAAGGCAACGAAAATGTCGGCATTGTTCTACGTGTTCAACCATTATCATGGCGTCGGATAGCTTAAATTTCAACTATGCGCTTGTAACTGGCGGCGCTGAAGGAATTGAATAAGCCCTCTCGGAATATTTCATCTCAAAAGGCAAAATGTCATTATTTTCGGTCGAACAGAGTCGAAACTCAAGGTCACTACTAAGGAAATAGGTGTCGCTGGATATTATGTCCTCGATACAGGCTCAATATCCGACATCCTATCCTTTGTTAAACGTATTACTAGTGATCACCCTGAGCTTGACTGCATAACTAACAACGCTGGTGTAGAAAGGCTACTACAAGTCCAGAAATAGACACCCGAAAACATTCTCTCAAAGGATGACAACGAGATCGACGTAAATATTCGCTGGCCACTTCACCTTACTGTGGAATTCCTACCCCACTTGAAGTTTAAGTCACAAGCCCTAATTATAAACGTATCCAGTGTACGTATATACGTCCCAATCGCGGTCATTAATCTGGTTTACAATGGTCTAAAGTCTTGGCCACATTTTTGGTTGATGAATCTTAGGAGTCTGTTGGAGGATACGGGCTTAAGATTAGTAGAAATTGCACCATCAACGGTGGCTACGGAGTCGTGAATGCGAGAACCCTGATGAAAACGAGAAAAAATAACCCCGATGCACTATCGCTGGATGAATTGGTGGAATGTATAAAAATTGATGCTGGAATCAATAAAAAGGGGAAAGGGACTTATGGATTTGGGCGGTTAATGACATATAAATGCATATATGCATATAATTTATGATTTACAACTAAGTAAGCTAATGTAGTTAAAGCGGATGCTCCATGTATATACATTACATAGGTACCTACCTAGGTATTCCGTAGTCACTGGAAGCTTCCCTAAGCGGGAGAGTTGCATGACACGGCCACAACGCCACATTGCCACACCCCTCTCTGAAACTCTGTGAAACCCTTGCTTTAGCGTGCGTGCCTGCCTTTTAGCGTGCCAAGAAGGCTGTGGTGTGGTTACCTGGGCAAAGACCAAAGTGGGATTGCTTTATTATGACGCACCATTTTTGCTTTCTCCCACCATACACCAAAACGTAAAGAAAACAAGATCTGGCGTTAACCGCGCCGCGACGAACTCCCCGTTTGTACCAAATTTGGGCTTGTTCTTTAATCGCTTTATGAGAAGTTATTCTCTTGCTGAACAATTTAATTTTCTATCAGTTGAGATCGCTCTTCTGGACATAAAGGGATAACATGTTTGTCCTTAAAAATGGTGAGTGATACCCCTCGTCGCTAAGCTGCTAGCCTTACTGAAGATACGTCTTTGCTGCAAACCTCAATAATTCTGGCCTCCTTTGTTGCTAGGATATGAATATGTGATATGTGACTAACATTGTTATATAATAGTCGGCAAGCTTATCTTCGGCACCAGCAGCCAAGAATCCATGATCGAGTTACCTCAAGGTCAACTCTACCTAGTTCGCCCGCTATCGCCTAAAGGATACTCTGAGCTGATTTTCAAGGACGCTACCGCTCGAATTCGTCGGACTGGCCAAGACTTCCAGTACCAACTCGTCGTACAAAGAGTTTACGAAGAGGGTGAAGCCGAGCTAGCGGACGACGAAGGCGAAGACGAAGAGCTTAACGCACTGGCCGCCGAGCGTGACGAGAAGACTTTTTTACTCGACGAGGCTCTCCACTTCCGTTTTGAGGATAGGGAAGGATCAGAGAAGGTTCTCGCTTGGAAGGACTTGAGCGGAGACGTTGGCGACGTTTACGAATTCGTCTGCGATCCTTCAACTACATCCGCCCAGGTTGAGGCATTCGAGCGCATCGCAAGGCAGTGTCAGTACGAGCGCAGATACCGAAAACCTCACTCTACTGCCTCTGCGGCCGACCTCCAACAGTTTGTTTTTGAAGAGCAACCCATTCCTCAGGCTAGTCCTATCCATAGCCCAACGCTCGCAAGATCAATCGAGTCCTCCGACGCTATGTTCCAGCTAAAGAACGAAGCTAACGTCGGTACTAAGCGAGACAGTACACCATCCACAGCTTCTATACTTGCAGAGCCTGAGCCTGAGACCTACGAAGAAAAAGAAGTTGAGACACAACATGCTAAACAGGCAGGGCCCCCGAAGGCCCCAGCCCAACCCGAACCCCTGGAGATTTTTGCGATGGAGATCGGAGAGCTGCACTTCTTCGATTTCCCTTCCGGCGCATTTGTCCTCCAGGACTCATCCGTCACAGCTCAAGTGTCGGATATTGGTAATTGGAACTATTGGCTGCATATTGCTAGTGCAGATCGTCAGTGGCTTGGTATTCCAGTCGTTGCTGATATTAACCCGGTGTTCAACTTTGAGTTTCTATCTTTTATCTTCAACCAATTTACTGAGGATGGCTCTGCTTATTCCTGGCTATTGAGATTCAAGGACAACAAGACCCTTGAAAGATTCCAGGATGGTCTAATGAGAGCACTCTGGGAGCAGCTTAATGAAGTCAAGTGGACCAAGGTCAAAGAACAGGACCGTCAGTATGTCTTGGATGCTTTCGAGGATCTAAATATGGAGGATGCGCCGATAGAAGAAGAGGAAGAAGAACCCGAAGTCGAAGAGCCTGAAGAGGATGATGCGCCACAGAGCGAACATTATGATAGCGATGAGGAACAAGACGATGTCGAGACTCAGCCCAAGGATCCTCATACGAATTCAGCGTTGGCTGTTGGGTACAAGCACGATCGTTCCTTTGTCGTCAGAGGTCCTAGAATTGGCGTATTCAAGCATACTCCTAAAAACCACTTGGAATTCACAACCAATATTTCTAAGGTCGAGACTCCAAAGGGCAAATCCTTCGTTCCCAAGAAAGTCATGTTACACAATGAGGATCGCAACCTAATCCTACAGAACGACACAGATCCCAATAAACTTTATCGCATGGATCTCGAGTACGGAAAAGTCGTTGATGAATGGAATGTTCATGACGACATTCCTGTTGTCACATTTGCGCCGGAAAACAAATTTGCGCAGATGACCCACGAACCTACTTTCCTTGGTATTTCTCGCAACGCCTTATTCCGAGTTGACCCTCGTCTGTCCGGAAACAAGCTAGTCGACTCTCAGCTCAAGCAATACGTGTCAAAGAATGATTTCTCTGCGGTATCTACTACAGAAAAAGGATACGTAGCCGTCGCCTCCAACAAGGGTGACATTCGACTTTTTGATCGCCTAGGTATCAATGCGAAGACTGTAATCCCAGCCCTGGGCGAGCCTATCATTGGTCTCGATGTGTCTGCGGACGGTCGTTGGGTGCTTGCAACCTGCCGTACATATCTACTACTCATTGATGCGCTGCAAAAGTCTGGTAAGAATGAGGGTAAACTTGGCTTTGAGAAGCCATTTGCCGCGGATGCTAAACCTCAACCTCGTCGTCTGGCATTGAATCCTGAGCATGTCGCTCAATTCCACCACGAAACTGGGAAGGGCGTCTCATTCACTCCTGCTCGGTTCAACACAAGCAAGACAAACGGCGAGACATCCATTATCACCGCAACTGGTCCATACATTGTTGACTGGAACCTTGATAAGGTCATTCGTGGCTCAAAGGCACCATACATCATCAAACGTTACGAAGACACTGTCAAGGCCGATGACTTCAAGTTCGGCACCGACCAGAATGTCATTGTTACCTTACCAAATTGGGTAAACATGGTTGGCAAGCAGCATCTCAAGAAGCCTACGAGGGAGAGTATTGCTGGCGATTTCCAACGGCTGGGCACACCGAGTCGAAGTTCGGGACGCGTCGGCACACGGGCGAGCGGTCGCTATAAGCTCGGTAAAGATGATGTGGTTAACTCACCTTACTAAGTTTGAGCTCCCGAGCAAATGCCAAATGGAAGATTTCGCAGTTGAGTTATTTGTTATTCCCAAGTTACAATCGTGTTGAGGGCGAGATCGCACTTTTCCTACAATACATACCCCAGTGGCGTTCGGGAGGAGACGGAAACTGGTGTTTATTCACTCACCTGAGGCGAGCCATTTTTGCTTAAGGTGATACCTGATTCTCATCACACTATATTGGTGATTTCACCTCAGTTAGGTAGGTAGGTAGTTAGTAATTTACTCTATCGATATTCCGTTCGTGAATATTTCACATTCTGTACCTTGATGAACATTTGGGCTATCTACGAGCCGCACCGTATGATTTGACTATAACGTTAGGGGTGGTAGGATGATCTACCCGTGTGCCCGAACGGATCGTGCTACTATCCCCCGTTTCCTTTAATATAGCAGATATCTAGTGCTACCTTTGGGAATCATTCCTATTGGCCTTTTACTACCCTCGTTTGGTTTGATAGATGGGTACCTGTCTACCTTAATCATAGTTCCCTGTGGCGTCTAATATTGAAATTTAGAATACTAGAATAAGCTACCTAGAATCATTTGATAAGTGAAGTTTTGGTGCCGATCTGAACTGGTATGTTGACTAGCACTGCTATTCCGTGGGACCTAGCCTGATGACTGGGTATTTTCAGTCCGGATGAGTCATCCCGAAATCGCTACGGCGTAATTAGTGATTTTTATATAAGGCTTCATAATATAATCTACCTACCTAGGTACACTCTGATATTTATTGAAACCGAAAGAAATAAAAATAAAATATATATACTAGGTATAGCACCTTAACTCACAACGAATATGGAGGGACCATGGGCTTTCGTGGGAACCACGCTTCCACACATACCACTTCCACCAATTTCTCAGCGACAGCCAATCCGAACAGAGCGACTATTGATTCGACCAATGCGGGAGGATGATCTTCAGGCTTATCACGAGTTGCGCTTACAGCCAGAAGCAATGGCCTGTAGTAGACAGGGGAGACCTGACCACGACATTGAAGAGACTCGATCAGCGCTGAACAAATTTTTACCGCCACACAGCGACGAGACGTTCTTGTACGGCGTCTTTCTTCCGTCTACGGGCGAATTAATCGGGGAGGGAGGTATTCATACGCTAGAATCTTCATCGTGTGGTTGGCCCGAGATTGGGTACAGATTCCGGAAAGAGGTTTGGGGTCAGGGGTACGCGACTGAGTTCCTGAGGGCGTTGCTCAAAGCTTGGTGGGATCTGCCTAGGAACCAGACTACACTCCGTGTTCATTCGACATCTGTTCAAAAGGGAAGCAGTGTGGATGCTGTAGAACAGATCCATGCCAACACGGACTTGCCAAATATAGGAAGTCAGAAGGTCTTGGCAAAACTTGGGTTTATACAGTTCTCGAAGTACATGGAGCCGGACACACAGGAGGATAAGCTGGGTGAGCCACTGGAATTAATTGGTTATAGGCTTCCTTTTCCGGAAGATAGTAACAGAAATTAAAGATGATATTTATCGTATGTAAGAGGATATGTGTCAGGAGACAAGAACTAGGACCAGTTAGGTAACGTAGTTGGAGTTCTAGGGGCCGGAGCTTATCACCGGCTAGCTACTAGACAGTACATATAGGCCACTTTGTTGCCCCTAGAGTTGGAAATAGTAGGCTTCTACGGAATTCTTCAATATATTGTATACATTAGCTTTCTACCAGCTGGCTACTTATCACTCTATAGCTAATATTTCACATCAAGGATTATCTCTAACAATGTGAATATTAGTAGTGATATTAAAAATTAGCGGAAAGTGTCGGATATAAGATGAATAATTAAGTAGGTTAGAGCTATTCAAATGCCCGAGTTTCATAAGAGTTGTTATATTCCATTAATTCTCATGAAACAAGAATCATTTTAAAACATATGAGTTTTAAGTCATTGCTAATCCGATATAAGGAGGTATACAGGGCTCCTTTTCTTTGACTTCAACGAAGTCGTACATTTGGTACTTTATGGACTGCTATATACCGACTTAGTATATATGTATGCCGTAGCATCTGATATAATGTCGTATTATTCTCGAGCGGGGTCTACCCAATACCAAGTTCGGGATACATTATCTCGCTACAAAAGGAACATCCTGCATGCTCGAGATAAGAGTTCGAGCGGAACAAGCCTAGATGTGTATAGTCCATATAGAATACGGCTTATTCTAGATTTTCCTGTATCTTAGATACTCCTTTTATAAAGTCTGCTAGCTCTGGACACATAGCGGACCGCCCTAAGACACGTTCTCTCGGTTCAAAATGCTCAGAGTGATAGAACGTATTATAGCTCCCATCCGCCAAACTGGATCACTAGACTCTACATCGCCAATTTCACCTAGACCAGACTCAGGAATTAGTGAAGTAAGTAGCTCCGTTATATCCGGACCACCGACGTCTCCCGCTTCACGAGGCCGCGCACGGTATTGGTTGAGAAAAGGGTCAGCACCCGCATATAATCGACCTATATTGTCCAATTTGGAGCCTACTCTAGAGACTCCGTACCATAATCAAGGCTCGAGCTTCTATACACCATTATCTCCTCCCGATACGCCCAACCTTGATTCACTACAAGATCCACACCTAACCAAGAAGGAAGAGGATATAGAGAAATCGAACAATCAAGAAACTACATCGGTATTATCTTCTGATGAAGATAAACCCGACAATCTGGAATCACGTCGAAAATTAGGGCGGCCAACACAGGCCCGAGAGGCTCGAGAACAACGAGTCCAGGACGTCCTTACTATTATCAAACAATTAAAGAGCGAAGAATACTCAACTGACGATATTCTGATCGTAAAAGAATTATCAGAATCAGAGTTCGACGACCTGATTGGTGAACTGCAAACTGATGATAATCTGAAAACCTATTTTGAATACGGTCTGTGGTAAGCGGATCTTGAGGATCCCGTTTCGTCCCCTTTTGATAATTTTGGACAGCTACGATTATCCGTATCGAAGCGAGCAAAAAGACCATATTGTCTTTCGCATGAACTCACCGCTCCATGAACACGTATCCAGGCGAATTTTTATGAAACTGGCAAATCAGATAGAAACGCTTTCGAAGAGGGACACAAATTCAGAGGAGCTCAACCAGGTCCTGAGTAAACCATTTTACATGACAGGATCGGCGAGAATTACCTCCAGGAATAAGTCTCACGGGAAAAGTCCAGATGAGAGTTTTCGATATCCTGACTGCACATATCCAGGACTGGTCATAGAAGTGTCCTGGTTGCAAAGGCCGAAGGAGTTGCCAAAACGGGCAAAAGAATTCATCACCAAAAGTAAAGGTGACGTGAGAACTGTCATTTCTATCGATATAAACGATAGTTATGCGAAGCGGCAAATGGGAATGCCGGGAGAGGCCAAATTTTCGGTATGGAGGGCAAATTGGGTCTCGGGTAACAAAGTAATACCTAAGATGAGCGTAGATAACCAGGTACGTTGCCGACTCCTATGCTCGACTCCAATGTCGATTTCCTTCATTCTAAAACGGGAGCAGGTATTCCAGGACGAGCACGGACAATTTAACCCTTCTGCCTCTGGCTTGCACCTCACGTTCGAAGATTTTCTCTGCAGAAAAGTAGCGGACATGTTGGGTCCTGACAACCCCCATCTTGTAGTTGAAGCTAATGAGCTATACCAATGGGTCCAGCAAGGACTAGCTGCCTTAAATATCCCGCCTCCTATATCATCAGCAGAACAGAGTAACGCCTCTGAGCAGCAAGTTTTACCCGCGTCACCTCCAGACTCCCACGCGGAAGGTGTGGGAATATCGCAAAACGCGGCATCAAACCTTGGCCAACCGGTAGGTCCACATCCCCAAAACAATTCACCACAAGGTCAAGCGCCGCTTGAGACTCAAGTGGAAAGACCGCCACGAAGAGCTCGTATAATCGGAGCTCATAAAATTTCGGCCTACTTCCGGAGGCGACGTAGGTAAAATGTTTGGGGTAGATGTTACGGCACGGTACTACAAGCGGTATCGAACAAAGACCACATAGAGATAGTGTTGCTAGTTTTATGATGAACGGATCTAGGAGGTGATTAAGATATTATTAAAATATTGAAGTGTATTGAAATGGTATGTGAGAAGATATTGTTAGAACACGACTGATCTCGACTGGTGTTGAAGAGCGAGCTGGCAAAGGCGTACACAAGAATATACGAGCTTGACATAACAGTCAAACGACAATTACGACCGATTAATGCCGTTACGTTTTAGTTATTATAAATATAACAAATTTATAATAACGATTAAATATATAATATATTTATTTTTATACTGTTTTTTTTTAAAAATAACTTACGTTAATATAAGTAAAGTAATGTTAATAAAATAAAGTTTTTAAATATTAAATATTTAAATTATTAATATAACTTTTACGTAATTTTTTTAATAAAAGTATAAATTTGTTATTATGTATAAACTAACCATTAATAAAGCGTTATTATTTATAAAATGGTTTTAATTATATATATAATTATTTTTATAATTTTTATATAAATTTAATAATTAATAATATTACGCAATTTATTTAAATATTATTATTAAATGTAATATTATATTTTAAGTTTTTATATTTATAAATATAAATATATAAATAGTTATTTTTATAAATAAAATGTTAATTTATATAAAAATATATATATAAATATTTTAATAAATATTTATGTTAAAATAAATAATAATATTAATTATAATGTTTAATAAAAAAAATAATAATAGTTTAATTAATAAAGTTTTTAAAAGTAAAAATATTTTTATAAATTTTTAAGTTAATTATAATTTTAAAGTTATAAATGTTTATAAATGTATAATAAATATAAGCGAAAAATTTAATAAAAAGTTTAAAAATATTAAAGTAAAATTTAATATATAAAATGTAAATATATAAAAAAATTATAATATAATAATAAAAATATTAAATGTAATAAATAATTTTATAAATAATATTATTTAATAATTATAAATATAATTGGTTTTAATTAAATTATTATTATTATTAATAATAAAGTTAATATTATTAATATTAATATAAAAATTTATGTAAAAA